AAATAAAAGAGCAAAGAATAAGAAAATTCAAACATACTTTCAACTTTTTCTTCTTCACCTATAGGAAAGGGTAAAGATACATAATTAATGATGAGTAAAAAAAAAATATAGATATATATAGATATATATAGATATATATAGATATATATAGATATCATTTGAATGCAAGCATACCATAAATTTCATTTTCATTAATTTCGATATCTCTTATTGAACTTATATTTCCATTAGAGAAAGTAACGTTTCCAGATCCAAAGACGACATGTTTAGTCTCCATAATAATACCTTTAATATCACCATTATATTCCATAGTATTCTCAAAATTCTTTTTTAAATGATTTCCCATCATTTCATCATTATCAACCCAAAGCGAATCTAATTTTAATCTACCTAACCTAGCCAAAATATCCGAAATTGTTGGACGAATACTAGCATCAATATCCCAACATTGTTCATATAAATCTACTAATTCAAGAGGTGTACCATTTATAGGTTTTAATCTTAACCCTTCGAATAATCTTATAGCTAAAAATTGATTATATGGTAAATTTTCAAATGGTCGTTTACCACTTGAAATATCATGCATTATTACACCTAATGAATAAATATCCAAATGTTTATCACGCGGATACAATGTTGGGGAAGCAAAATAATTTGGATCTATGTAAGGTAATGATGGGTATATTGAAGATTTTTGAGGTATAGATTTAGAGATTCCAAGATCTGAGATCATGAGTTGATCATTGTGAAGAAGTATATTGTGTGGGTGCTTTTAAATATGTACGCAAATAAATGCAAAAGAAGATTAAGAAGTAATAAGAAGAGAGAGTAACAAGAAATTAAGTTAGGCATTTATGTAATAATATTTGATTAAATGCGTATAAGATAACTATATATTTACCAATGATAGATGAACAATATCATGATTATGTATGTATTGTAAACCACTTGCTATGTCAATAATTAATCTCACTCTATCTGTCCAAGAGAGTTTTGAATGGTTGTTTTCAAGATATTCCCGTAGGTTTCCACCTTCAGCATATTGCAATACCATAAAATAATCATCATTTTGAGGATCTATAATATATAAATTTTAAGTTAACACACTAATTAAATAAAGTAGTAAATAGTAAATAGTAAATAGTAAATAGTAAATATAAAGAATACATACTATAACTATAACCAAATATTGAAAGTATATTCTGATGAAAACTCAATTTATAAAGTAAATTTATCTATTTTCATTATAATGCACATAAAAGCAATGTAATAAAAAAAAATAGTAAGCACTTATTATAATAGATTTTAAAAAACCAACCAAGAGAAAAATTAAAATTTTTGATATTAATTTTATCATAATACATACATTATCAACCAATATCTTACTTTCACTATCATTGGAATCCTCTTTAAGTGCTTGTGAAAAAGCTGCAAGAGATTCAACTTTCTTTAAAGCAACTTTAATCATGTCATTATCATTTTTCCATGTTGATACTAAAATTGTAATGCTTTTTCCATAACCTAATGGAATTATGCCTTCGAAGTTAGAATAATCGATATCTTGTAATTTGAATATTTGTGTTGAACTTCTTGGGTCATTAGATGGAACTATATAATCAGCAGACGATAATGATGTTGCTGATCGGTTTAACTCTTGATTTGCATATAATGTAGATATTTGAGAATTATTTTTCGTTATATTCTCCGGCGTTGTTACATCTAATGAGACAGTAATTTCAGGTTCAGGAGAGCTGGTAGGTTGTGAAGGCTGTGACGTCAATTCAGTTGTGGTAGTAGTTGTTATGGAAATTTTGAAAGAATCCGTTGGTAATGTAGACATTTTTGTTTAGGAATGTGACGAATATTGGAAGAAGTAAAAAATCTAATGTTTAATGAATGTACAGGTCGATGGCAAAGTGTCTGGTAAGATATGTGTAGATGTATGCGCTTCGTATTTTCTTTTTTCTTTTCCTTGTTTTTTTTTTTTTTTTTTGTTTTTTTTTAATATACTCGTTTATTGTAGAGGAAGGATAATATTTATGGCGTAAAAGTTAAAACGTCCCCTGTTGTTTATGAAGTTATACAATGATACTTTTTTGTCATTAAAGTCTTTAGACAGAAAAAAAAAAGGTGGCAAAGGAGACAATAGAAATGTTGAAATAAATAAAGACTTTGGAAGGTTAAATAATGAATAAAGAAAGATGACTTGAAAGACGAAAAGAAGAAAGGAATAAGGCGGGGGGAAAGGAATTCCAAACTATTAAGAAAGGAATTTGTTTTATATTAACATAAACAACATTTCGAGAGACCTAAAGAAGTTGTGTCAGGTCGTTTGATGGTTTATGTTTATATTTATTCAAAAATCTATCTAATCGAATTTTAATAAGTTAAATACAATAAATTAAACTAAGATTATACATAAGAAATTTACATAAAATTTTATACAAAAAATATTTTAATCTTATAATTTAATTTCAAAACGTTCCATGTCTATTTCCATACGGTTCTTTTGAGCAAACCGAACCGGTTATCCTTTATTCTACTCTCTTATGTCTTTTATGCCACGGTGGTCAGAATTCAAGATTACTGGTGAAATAAGGTATTTCCTATTTCAAAATTTTTGCAGATTACCGAAAAATCTTATTTTTTTTTATTGCCAAAGACAAAAAAGAAAGAACAACCTTGATGGTAACAACAATATAATTAAAAAATAAATTTATGATGCACTACATGTAGTACGAGACGCAAATCTTTTTTTCGCAAACAAATAGTTCCCCTGTATATAGTACGGAGGTGTGAAGGTAATTAAATGGTTGTTTTACATGGGTCAGTCTCTACAATTATGAGCATTCGAAAGTTTTATCAAACTTTGATTATTTATATTCTTGAGTAGGTGCTCTATTCATAGAACGAATAGATCATACGGTCTACAATTCCCATTCAAAGTATTTTTGTGATTATTGTTATGCCCGTTTTCGGCTCTAACTCTAAATTTAAAATCTTGCACATCATGTGATGTATCTTATCATGGCAAATGCTCAAAATTATCTAACAAATGTTTGCCTAGTGCTAGTACTAGCTAGATGTGCGAGATTCTTAATATATAATGGATTTGAATACACATAACGCTAATGTTATCTTCTGATTCTGGATTTTTATCAATTAAACCTATTTAATAGCGATAGAGGTTACTATAACTAAGTTATTTAATATGCCAAGATAATTAATATATATTACAAAATTAATTAGAAATTTATTTTATCTTTATATATTATGGTTGATCGGGTCTTTTTTTTTTTTTCCTTTCTAAATTTATACAGGAAAGAAAACCAAAAATACTTAAATTATGTAACTGTTGTGATTCCATCATTTGAAATTAGCAATAAATAGTAAATAGTTTATGTGAACAAGTTTACTTAATACACCAGAATGACTTATTTATTAAAATAACTAGATTTAAATCCAAATTCGATAAGAACAACAAATGAAATCAATTGCTTATAAGTATTATAAGTATATTACTTTGTTGTATATGAATTTAACAGAATTGTTATAATTATTATTATTTTATTTTTTTTATTTATTTTTTTTTTAAAAAAAGCAACGCCATTATTATTTCTGGGAAGTTTTAAATCCTTTTAATTAAATTATTAGAAACTTTTATGAGTAACGGCAATTGCCGGGAGTTAATCACGCATCAAAGATGAATATATACGTATTCAGATAAATGTGTAAATATTTATTTGAGGTACATTTCACAATTCAATATTGCGAATCATGAACAAATGGAAAACGTAGAATCAAAAGTAACAAGATTTTTGTGTCGCTAATGTGTTTGAGTTATTCCTTAAATAATGGCCAGCTTTCTATATGTTTGGTCTCCATTATTTTACTTGCAGTTTATCCGCATCTTTTTTCCGCGTTTAGATTATCCATACACGACTTTGCGAATTTGCGACCTGGGGGCACATCAGTTAAACCCAAAAATGTAAAGGTTTAGTCTGTATATTAATAACCCCAACTTCGCGTAACATAACGAACCATTATTTATATCGTACACGGAATTTTACTTAATACATAAGGCATATTTAGGCTGCGCTTCCGTATTAATAAAAGTAGTACTTCATGTCGCGTTAACCCATGCGCGTTTTATAAATTGTGTTAGGTGCATCCCTAACAATCTAACAATAAATAGTTATATTACTAAATGAACTCAAATTATTCACTCAAAATGTCCTCTATTTAAAAAGGCGCGTCATATGCTCACATGATTTCAATTGTTACGACATGAAGTTATTTTCGTGTAATGTCATAAGCCTGTTTATTCGTTTAATTTATTCATTTTAATTTCAATTCTAACGTAACTGCATCTGCATTACTGTTTACATTTCTTTTCGCTGTCTTCCAATTTTGTCAATTATTAAAACCATAGCTCCCTACGTGTAAGGGCTAGCGTATCCATTATTTACAGCTCTTGTAAAATCATTAAACCTTGATTTATTTGAAAAAATTCTAGGCGCATAATCTCGGTGCCCTGTAAATAGAAATCATTGATGTAAATTGTTCAATTTCGATATTACCTCAAATATCTTCATCTCTTTGCATGCCTAATTATATATTAAAACCATACAATTCAAGTTACTTCCTTCCTTTTTC